AGCAAGCAGGGGTGGCCATCCTCATATCGAATAAAATCGACTTCAAGACTAAGTTAATCATAAGGGATAAGGAAGGACATTATATATTGTTAAAAGGAACCATTCACCAACAAGACATAACAATTATCAATATTTATGCACCAAATAATGGTGCTGCGACGTTCATAAAACAAATTCTCCTCAAGTTCAAGAATCAAATAGACCACAACACAATAATTATGGGTGACTCAACACACCTCTCTCACAATTGGACAGATCCTCCAAACAAAAGCTGAATAAAGAAACTATAGAACTCAATATCACAATCAACAACCTAGACTTAACTGACATATATAGAATATATCAACCATCATCAAGTGGATATACTTTTTACTCAGCAGCACATGGATCCTCCTCAAAAATAGACCATATATTATGCCATAGGGCAACCCTCAGTAAATATACAGGGGTGGAGATAATACCATGCATTTTATCTGATCATAATGGAATGAAACTGGAAATCAATGATAAAAGAAGGAAGGAAAAATCCTACATCACATGGAAAATGAACAATATGTTACTGAATGATCAATGGGTTACAGAAGACATAAAGGAGGAAATCAAAAAATTCTTAGAGATAAATGAGAATACAGACACAACATATCGGAATCTATGGGACACAATGAAAGCAGTTTTAAGAGGGAAATTCATCGCCTGGAGGTCATTCCTCAAAAAAAGGAAAAACCAACAAATAAATGAGCTCACACTTCATCTCAAAGCCCTAGAAAAGGAAGAGCAAAACAACAGCAAATGTAGCAGAAGGCAAGAAATCATTAAAATCAGAGTGGAAATCAATGAAATTGAAACAAAAGAAACTATTGAAAAAATTAACAAAACTAAAAGTTGGTTCTTCAAAAAAATAAATAAGATCGACAGACCCTTAGCCATGCTAACGAAGAGAAGAAGAGAGAGAACTCAAATTACTAACATACGGGATGAAAAAGGCAATATCACAATAGATGATACAGAAATACAGAAGACAATTAGAAATTATTTTGAAAACCTATATTCCAATAAAATAGAAGATAGTGAAGACATCGATAAATTTCTTAAGTCATATGATTTGCCCAGACTGAGTCAGGAGGATACACACAATTTGAACAGACCAATATCAATGGATGAAATAGAAGAAGCAATCAAAAGACTACCAACTAAGAAAAGCCCAGGACCGGATGGGTATACAGCGGAGTTTTACAAAACCTTTAAAGAAGAATTAATACCAATACTTTTCAAGTTATTTCAGGAAATAGAAAAAGAGGGAGCTCTGCCAAATTCATTCTATGAGGCCAACATCACCCTGATTCCAAAACCAGACAAAGACACCTCAAAGAAAGAAAACTACAGACCAATATCTCTGATGAACCTACATGCAAAAATCCTCAATAAAATTCTGGCGAATCGGATACAAAGGCACATCAAAAAAATTGTGCACCATGATCAAGTAGGATTCATACCTGGGATGCAAGGATGGTTCAATATACGGAAATCAATAAATGTTATTCACCACATCAATAGACTTAAAGATAAGAACCATATGATCATCTCGATAGACGCAAAAAAAGCATTCGACAAAGTACAGCATCCCTTTATGTTCAAAACATTAGAAAAACTAGGGATAAGAGGAACTTACCTCGACATAGTAAAAGCTATCTATGCTAAGCCTCAGGCTAGCATCATTCTGAATGGAGAAAAATTGAAGGCATTCCCTCTAAAATCTGGAACAAGACAGGGATGCCCTCTATCACCACTTCTATTCAATATAGTTCTCGAAACACTGGCCAGAGCAATTAGACAGACAAAAGAAATTAAAGGCATAAAAATAGTTAAAGAAGAACTTAAATTATCACTATTTGCGGATGACATAATTCTATACCTAGAAGACCCAAAAGGGTCTACAAAAAAACTACTAGAACTAATAAATGAATTCAGCAAAGTGGCAGGATATAAAATCAACACGCATAAATCAAAGGCATTTCTGTATATCAGCGACAAAACTTCTGAAACAGAAATGAGGAAAAACACTCCATTCACAATATCTTCAAAAAAAATAAAATACTTGGGAATCAACCTAACAAAAGAGGTGAAAGATTTATACAATGAAAACTACAGAACCCTAAAAAGAGAAGTAGAAGAAGATCTTAGAAGATGGAAAAATATACCCTGTTCATGGATAGGCAGAACTAACATCATCAAAATGGCAATATTACCAAAAGTTCTTTATAGGTTTAATGCAATGCCAATCAAAATCCCAATGGCATTTCTTGTAGAAATAGATAAAGCAATCATGAAATTCATATGGAAAAATAAAAGACCCAGAATAGCAAAAGCAATTCTAAGCAGGAAGTGTGAATCAGGCGGTATAGCGATACCAGATTTCAAACTATATTACAGAGCAATAGTAACAAAAACAGCATGGTACTGGTACCAAAACAGGAGGGTGGACCAATGGCACAGAATAGAGGACACAGAGACTAATCCACAAAGCTACAACTATCTTATATTTGATAAAGGAGCTAAAAGCATGCAATGGAGGAAGGATAGCATCTTCAACAAATGGTGCTGGGAAAACTGGAAAATCATATGCAACAAAATGAAACTGAATCCCCTCCTCTCGCCATGCACAAAAGTTAACTCAAAGTGGATCAAGGAGCTAGATATCAAATCAGAGACTCTGCGTCTGATAGAAGAAAAAGTTGGCTCCGATCTACATATTGTGGGGTCGGGCTCCAAATTCCTTAATAGGACACCCATAGCACAAGAGTTAATAACAAGAATCAACAAATGGGACTTACTTAAACTGAAAAGTTTTTTCTCAGCAAGAGAAACAATAAGAGAGGTAAATAGGGAGCCTACATCCTGGGAACAAATTTTTACTCCTCACACTTCAGATAGAGCCCTAATATACAGAGTATACAAAGAACTCAAAAAATTAGACAATAAGATAACAAATAACCCAATCAACAAATGGGCCAAGGACCTGAACAGACACTTCTCAGAGGAGGACATACAATCAATCAACAAGTACATGAAAAAATGCTCACCATCTCTAGCAGTCAGAGAAATGCAAATCAAAACCACCCTAAGATACCATCTCACTCCAGTAAGATTGGCAGCCATTATGAAGTCAAACAACTACAAGTGCTGGCGAGGATGTGGGGCAAAGGGTACTCTTGTACATTGCTGGTGGGACTGCAAATTGGTGCGGCCAATTTGGAAAGCAGTATGGAGATTCCTGGGAAAGCTGGGAATGGAACCACCATTTGACCCAGCTATTGACCTTCTCGGACTATTCCCTGAAGACCTTAAAAGAGCGTACTACAGGGATACTGCCACATCGATGTTCATAGCAGCACAATTCACAATTGCTAGACTGTGGAACCAACCCAGATGCCCTTCAATAGATGAAAAAAAATGTGGCATTTATACGCCACGGAGTATTACGCAGCACTAAAAAATGACAAAATCATGGAATTTGCAGGGAAATGGATGGCACTAGAGCAGATTATGCTTAGTGAAGCTAGCCAATCCCTAAAAAACAAATACCAAATGTCTTCTTTGATATAATGAGAGCAACTAAGAACAGAGCAGGGAGGAAGAGCAGGAAGAAAAGATTAACATTAAACAGAGACATGAGGTGGGAGGGAAAGGGAGAGAAAAGGGAAATTGCATGGTAATGGAGGGAGACCTTCATTGTTATACAAAATTACATATAAGAGGTTGTGAGGGGAATAGGAAAATAAACAAGGAGAGAAATGAATTACAGTAAATGGGGTAGAGAGAGAAGATGGGAGGGGAGGGGAGGGGGGATAGTAGAGGATAGGAAAGGTAGCAGAATACAACAGTTACTAATAGGGCATTATATAAAAATGTGGATGTGTAACCAATGTGATTCTGCAATCTGTATTTGGGGTAAAATTGGGAGTTCATAACCAACTTGAATCTAATGTATGAAATATGATATGTCAAGACCTTTGTAATGTTTTGAACAACCAATAAAAAAAAAGAAAAGTTTTCTGTCCATCTACAACAAAAAACAATTTTTTTTAAAAAAAGAAAGATAAAATTTTGCCCCTATGAAGTAGGAATGGTATATGGAAATTAAGGAAGGTGATGCTTGATTTTTGTTTTGTTTTGTTTTCTGTTTTTTTGCAACAAACACATAAAACTACTATTTGAATCTTTAAAACATGAGGATGTACAACAACAGAAAAAAAAGAGGATACATTAATAGTATACACACAAAATAAGTATATATTATCTTATCTACTAATAAGGAAAAAAAATCATTCTACTAATTAATACCAACTGGTAAAGCCTAATGAAATTCAATGTGTAGCACTATAAAGCAAAGCATACACAAATCTTTGATCATAGATTTGTATAAAATGTGCTGTGAAAATGAAATGATTATTAATAAACCAAGAAGAAATATTTTCCTAGTCCAAATATGTCCTATTTATTCTGGCTTTTCCATGTTACTTTAAAATTGTTCGTTTTAAATCATTTTAAACATCATTATAGCTAATGCTCTAATGGCAATCAATAAATGATTTAAATTATTTTTCTTTTGTCATGTATTCATTTCTTTATAAAACAGAATATGAACAATAGCCCTGATGGTCAAAACTGCGCTTTGCCTTCACTCCACATTATGTCCTTAAGCCCTTGATTGTATGCAGTATTAGTACACTGGCAAGTTAATAAAAATTTTCTCATTCCTGTTTAGCTCTCTATTTATCCTTTATCAATATTATCAATCTTTGATATCAAAAACAACAAATATTCATAAATAAAAAGTTTGCTTTCTTGGGTGATCCTGATAAGCAAATTACAAGAACAAAGGTTAATGTGAAGTACAAAGCAAAATTCACATAATTCACTATGCTTTACAGTAAGTTTATCTGTGCTTTCACTAATAGGAAAAAAGCTTACTTAAAATAACAAGAAAGAAACCAACTTACCTTTTTGCACTCATCTGTTCTTTTAGTTTACTATACATTTCCAGCACTGCATTCAAAAAATAACATTTTAGCATTTAAAATGGAAAAAAAGAGCATTTTGAGAGATTATATTACAAAATCATAGTCTTCACTACATTGAATTAGCTTAATATTTTCTGATAAATATTATATGTTTCAAAGTAAATAAAAATATTTTAATTTTCACATGTTGAATATTTTATAGATAGGTAGATATTGAACATTTTATATATATATTTTTTGAACCTGGAACATTTGCATATGTTGATACCTATAATTGAGAAATTAACCTAGTAAAAATTATACTATTCAGAAATTTCTAATATTTTTTCCATGAACTGGAATTAGAAGTTTGGACTTTAGTTATTTGAGAATTAAATTTTCTTTCTCAACTGATTCTGTCCCAACATACCAAACAAAAAACACAACTGTGTTATAATTAACCAAACACAAAAACTTACACCAAATCTACAAAGAAAAATATCAAAAGTTTACTGCAAAGAGTGATTTACAATAAAGCTAGAAATAAACATAGCATATTGTATGCATATATAAATAAGTAACAAATTCCATCATTATATACAACTATAATGTACCGATAAATGAGATTGTGTAATTCTGGAGAAAAAAAGAAAATCATAGCAAAGCATCTTTATTCATTTTATTCTTTCTATTAAGGCACAGAAATGCAGTTATTCAATAAAATTGTCATAAGCTTCAACAAAATGACCTACTATCACCAAGAAGGCTTTACTGCAACCATGTAAATAACCATTTAACCTTAGTAGAATTTGAAAGTGAGTCAGTAAATCATTATTGGCTCATCAAACCAACTCATATTTTCCTAGAACTAGACAACAGTTTTCTTTTCAGATTTGCTATAGTTATATGGCTATTCTCAGGGGTCTACAAATTTACTAAAGAAATTATTTACTTGTCCAAAAAACATCAGACCTGCAATGGTGGCTACAGTGAGCTGCCCTAACTCTGTGACCTCAAAGGACCCTCTGCATTTCTATCATAGCCCCTATAGGCAATATAATAATTCTCACATTTTCCAACCAAAGTATTGGAATGAACACATAACATGGGACAGATCCTGCTGCAACAGTATAAACTGGTTTTGAAGTCTCCTGTTTTACCTCAATAATTCATACAAATTTCAGATCTACCTCATTATTTCTACCTTGTTTCCATATAAAAATTATGCTTTCTTCAAAAATAATCAAATAAAACTAATCCACCAAGAAAATGCATTATTTCTGCTATGAATTCTTATATCCTCTCACACTCTTCCAAAACCAAGGAGTCGTTAGGCAACTGTATTATAATTGATGACTTAATTGTCTTTATTCACATTAGATTATAGGATCATTCTAAAGCTGGGACTATGTCATTTTCAACTTTATATCTCCAATACCTACCATAATGCCTGACACACACACAAAAAAAGTAAGTATCATTTATCATTGGATACTTAGAAGGATGGACAGAGGAAAGGAGGTACTGTATTTCACTACATAATTGTTGCACTCTATTTTTTCAGTCCAAAAATTGGTTAATAATCATTCACAGCATAATCATTGTATAGACTAATTCTGTTTGTTATGCTGCTTAAAAGGTAAATGTAATAGCAATGTATTCACCAGTAGCATATGGATGTGCCATTTGTTTTTGCCCACACTAAAAGCCAAGAGCCTAGAATTCTCAGCACTTGTTCATTGTCAGTATATTTCAGAAAGCTGACTTGAGCAATTGGCTTAGAATGCTATAGTGCTGATGTATTATCAATACATTTTACATGAGAAGCACTGAGGACAATGTGTCAGATAACAAAATCAATGATAGCAAGCACAGAATCTTCAGATCAGATGATTAGATTTTGTCAGTTTATGCTTCACAACACTGTAGTAAATTTTCTCAAGTGTAGTATTTTGACTATAATGCACAAATTAATAACAATAAGTTAACTTCTTTATAAAGACCAGAAAATGTTCACTAAACTGGCTAAACTGTCATGAAGAAATAATGTACATCAATTTGTACTATTCAATTTTAACATATATTCTCAAGTAGTTTGTGCAACTTACTCTTGGACCAAAGATAGGTTAGTAATAAATGATTTGTAAGTAATACCAGCAAAATTTATTATTTTAAAAAGCTTCACATAATGGTCACACCCCACTGTTTTGAAAAAAAGTTGGCATAAAATCTGCAACAATTATACAATGAAATGTGGTCATGCTGGATGTTGCAATTCAGAACACAATATTTACATGAACTTACACATGCTCTCTGGCCTTAAAAGCAGACAGTGACAATAACAACAACTTGACCTCTACTTTGAAGTCTTTATTTCTCTTATGAATATCTCACCTACAGAAAAAGCTGAGTTTAGCTCTTTCTCATTCCATCAATACCAATTTTTAGGCTTATTATCTAAATTAAAAAGGGACAAAGTATAAATCTTGGGAGGCTGTCTTCATGGCTGTTATGATATATCAGCCAAACATATATTAAACATCATCATAAATAAATATGTTTCTCAATCCTGAAACCTAATATTATAAGTAGGTATTTTATTTACTCAAAGTTTATGCGTAAATATCGCTGGCCCATCAAAGATTAAACTTAGTAGGCTATCACTGATTCTAAAAAAAGAAAAGCTATTTCTTTAGCCAATAAAATCTGCTGACAGTTTTAACAATATAATTTGTATTCTAAGTTAAATTTACACCATATAAATATTATACAAAACATTCTAGTCCCCTGGATGCATAGGTTTAGGTTCCTTCCTAAAAATTAATAAGTAAGTCAAATGAGACAATTTTAGCTTACAATATTAAGAAAAAAATGGCATATACCTGCTTCCTTTTGTTTGAACAGGATGCTTCCAACTTAAAGTTATATTAAGTCCAGGTAAAGAAAATACTGATTAGTTTCTTCAGAATTTATGTGATGTCCCAGTAATATCTGAGCCCTAACAGAGAGACCAGAAACTAAGTCTTTCCAAAATATAGGAGAAAAAGCAAGAAGGGAAAAGTCCTAACACTTTTGATGTTTTCTTTCCTTATCAGCAAAATGAGATTGTGAGCAAAACAAAACCAACCTGTTATGTGACAAACAGAAAATGATGGAAAACTAGAAGTAGGAAAATTAGGCAAATTAGGCAAAGATGAGAAAAAGTAATGGGCACTCTCTGCATGGGAAAGTATTCTGAGAGGGGAAAAAACATGGACAGGGCAGGGGGCTGGAGTGGACAGATGGCAAAGTAGGCAGAGAGGAAATGCAAAACTAACAGTTGTTCTAGGAGACCACTATAACAGATAATCAAACAAGGGCCTTATTATAAAAAAGAAAACCATGGAAATTCATGAAATTGAGTGAATAAGAGAGGTAATCAAAAGCTTTTTTGCAAGGCAATCACCAAATAATCAAATTTCCATAATAAAGAATGACTATATGCTATTATGAAATTTGCCTATAATATAATGTTTGACTTGGTAAAATTAAACTCACCTGGAAGGCATAACTGCAATTTTTCTACTACAGTTGTAATATTCCTCTGCTGAATTCTACATCGAATAATATCTTCTGTTTGGACTATCACCTTAGAAAAAAGAAATATACACATCTTTTAAAAAAACAATTAAATAACACCCACATATATTTTAAAAAATTATCATTTTCTTACCTCTTTTCCAGCATCTTGAAATCTTCGGTTGGTATCAGTAACTTGTACCTTAAAAATAATTTCACCTTAGTTAGACAAATATGCATAAAACTGCCCTGATGTAACTGCTCACCCTTGTAATCAGATCATGCTTCATGAGAAACTTAGAACAAAGAAATGCAAATTCAAATTAACTCTACAGCTTGAACTTGAACTTTTGATTGAAAAGGGCTTTTGTTAACTTCAATTACTTATGACAGTTCTTTTTAACAGATTCTGTGGCAAACTTCTCAAATTTACTCAGGATTTTTGAACTTTACTTGCTTCTCTAAGTCTGTCAAACAATTCAAATCACTGACCCAATTGACCACTGGTCCCTTTTTGATAACTTCAATGAGGTCTATGTGCCATTCACTGTCTGTAGGAAATGGTGATTGCATTTTATGGTAATTAAACATTCATACTTTGCTGAATGCAAACACTGGGTGGTTGATTAACATCAAACACGGAAATCTCAATCCACAGCAACATTTTAATGCTGCAGGTGCAGGCAAAGCTCAACCTCAAATTTTCCCACATATTAAGTGACTCATTAGGTCATCATAGTAAGGAAGCACATTCTGGTTTATTAAAAATCTCATTAATTTCTGAACAAAGATGCTCAGTGACCTCATTGATGCTGTATTTGGTCTCTTGTTATCTGAATATCCTTTATATATAATACATAATAGTTTTCTAATCATAATCTTTGAATTGTCTGCTAAGCACTCTAAATACAAAGATAAATAGGACAATTCTTATAACTAAATATTTTATATTCTTACTGAAAAAATCCAGGTTTCATTTAATATATAATATTTTTACTATATGACAGAAAATGTAGACCATCTTCCTTTAAAAAATTATAAACTGCTGTTAAATTATTTCAAATTTACAGTATAATTAAATAATTTTGAGAACAAAATCATTTATAGTAAATTTTAAACAATTTTAGGATGTTTTTAAATCAACATTGTATTAATTATCATTTTAAAAATTCTAAAACTGCAAACAGGACCTTACACTGTATGAATGTTTTGAATTCACTTCCCTGGGTGGAAAAAAATCCTATTAAGTCAATGTACTACTTGCTTTAGAAAAAAAGAGATTACTCCTGTCATTAGCATGACAACCGCGTTAATAGCCATAAAGAGCATTCCCAAATACATATACTAATTCAGTTCCTGAAAGCGCATTTAATAGTAACTTACAGATATGTACTATAATAGTTGAGTAATTTAATAAGAACAAAGGAAAACAAAATTTTAACATATTTCCTACCTTCAGTTTTTCTGCATCAGTCCTTACTTTAAGGAGTTCTGTAATAGCATCTACAAAACCCTGATGATGAAAATTACACATTTTTTCAATTTCCTTGTCATGATTTCGGATACAAGCATCTAACTTTTCCATAAACTTCTTGTGTGAATTTGGTTGATCATCATACACTGACCTGTATATATATAAGAAAACTAAAATTAACTTCCCAGTTCACCAAAATTTATTCTTTATAAGTCCAATTTTTATAACAACTAGAGATTAAGTCTGAACAAATAAGATGGTATTGTCTTCAATAGAAATAATTTTGGTGAAAATATTTCACTTCTTTTTGAACATGGTAATATTAAAAAACCAAAAACCCTCAAAATATATCACTAGTTATCCACAAGAAAAGATCTGAGGCTCAGAAGATAAGTGCCAAATACAAGTCTTATACTAGTGCTCAAAAAAAAAAAAAAAGCAGCAGGGCTAGGGCTGTAGCTCAGTGGCAGAGCATTTGCCTAGCGTGTGTGAGGCACTGGGTTCAACCCTCAGCACCACATAAAAAGTAATTAATTAATTAAAAAAGGAATCTACATGTGAATAAGGAATGAAGGAACAAACTCATGGTATCTATGGCATTTACTATGTGTCAGCCATGTTCTAAGTACTTTGTATATTAACTCTTTCATCCTCACAACAATCCCATAAAGTAGGTATTATTATTATTATTAATCTTGTTTTGCTTGATGTGTTACAGATTGTGTAACTGCTGTAAACTCAACAATTTGCAAATGATAGCTAGGATATGAATGCTGGCAATCTAGCTCCACTGTTCATATTCTCAAGTACAAGGTCATATTGTAGTCACTACAATATTCTCTAAAGATGGCATCACATGCCTGATGTATCTCAGTTCATACTCATTGCCACTTAGAGGACATCCTCCCCACCATTCACCATGTGGTAAAGAACTAACCTTGGCCCTGGCTCCTGAAATGGAAGCCTTTGGTTCTCTCTGCCTCTTGGAGGCCTTAACAGTGTGATTTATTGGGAGGAGCTTCATCCTTTTAGCTTTCTAAGGTGCTGAAGACTTAGGTTAGCAATATAGGCAGTCAGCAACATGGATGTCAGTCATGTCTACCTGGGTGGTTACTCATGTTCACACAACCATACCCTAATAAAACACCTAGACTTCAAGGCTTAAGTGAACTTCTCTGATCAGCCATTCTCTGAGTATTGCCACATATCACTGCTGGGAAAGGTGCTGTCCACACACTTCCACTGGGAAAAGACAATTGAAAGTTCATACCTGGCACTCTCTTACACTTTGCCCTATGTGCCTTTTCTTTCTCTGTAATTTATATGTGTGTGTGTGTGTGTGTGTATGTGTATATATATATATATATATCTTTGCTATATTCTGTGAATCATTCTTGCAAATTTTGAACCTGAGGGTAGATCTGGGGATATTCTAAAGTGTATTTTCCCATCTGTTGCCCATTATTCGGGGTTCAGTGCAAGTTCCATGTTCTCCAACAGACCTCTGCCTATCGTTTCTATGCAAAGTAATCCTTTCATCTGCAAGACAGGTAAATTTATAGTCCTTCACAGCTATTCTGACAGGTAACCATGTATAACTTTGTATCTAACTTAAATGCTTTATGGGTATGTCACATATTTTGTTTCCCCAAATAGATCATAAGCTTCTTGAGGGCAGCCTCCATAACTCAGGTTTTAATGAGTACTAACTATAATACTAGAAACACCAATACAGGATAGTAATCCTGAAGAATTTAGACTCTTTAAGATGAGCTAGAATGAAGCTCTGAACTTGAACACGCTCTCCTTTCTACCTATATTTTTCTTTTGCTCTAATCTTGATGTATAGCATTAAATTCCATAAACATATTAACATCTCCCAAATTTATATATCTAAACTTGACCTCTCTCAAACTTCCAACTCAAGTCTCTCCAAACAGATATCTGATGAGCATCTCAACTATGTTAAAAATGAATTCCCAAACTTCTTTCCCCAAATCTGTTTTTCCCATAGTCTTCCTCATTCAGCAAATTCCATTCTTCTGACTGCTAAGAAAAAGAAAGAAAAAAAAACTTTGAAATCATCCCTGACTAATCTCTTTCTCTCACCCTCTTCCCCCTATTAATCTAGCAAACCTAACCACACCTTTCTACCTCCACTGGGTATCACCCTGGACTAAGCCAACAACTTTTCTCACCTAGGTTATCGTTAATTGCTTTCTAGCTGGTCTCCATGATCCTACCCTTTTGCTCCCCTTCAGTATGTTCTCAACAGAGTAATCAGATGATGTCTAGCAGAAATCATAAGTTAAATTTTACATAAGTAAAATTCCATGTCTCTCTTCTGCTCAAAACCCTTTTTTCTCTTACAATAATCCTTAAGGCCCTACATAATTTTGCTGCATGTTACTTCACTGGCCTCACATACTTCTAATTATTTCCATTTCACTTATTCCATGTCAGCAACATTGGACTCCTTTTGGTGTCTTAAACACATCAGGCATGTTCTTGTCCTCATCTTTGCAAATGCTGTTTCCTTTGTCTGGATCACATTTCTTGTATGTGCTTATCTCCTTCACTTCATTTAAGTCTTTATCCTCTTTTTGAGATGGCTACAACATCTACATTACACACACACACACACACACAATCCCCTTCTCTTTTTTTTTCTAAAATAAAGGAATTTATTTGGTAATGGTCTTACCACTACAGGATATATTGTTTCACATTTTTATCTAATTATCTGTCTTCCCTATAGAATGCAAATTGCATGAAGACATAGGATTTTATATAGTTTCTTCTGTTGAGTCCCAGCCCCTGAAGGCACAGATTTTTTTGTCTGTTTTATTCCCTGTTGTATCCCTAGCTCTAGAACAGTATCAATCTTATCATATAACAGATGTTCAATAAATAATTGATACACGAGTTGCATAAATGGAATCAGAAAGCATATTTACTATATTCAACTTCAGGTAAGGCATCTGACTTCTTTAAATATAAATTTTCTTAATCATAAGATAAGAATAAAAATAGTACCTATAGCAAAATGAACAAGAATTTAAAGTTAAAAACATAATACTATTAGATTAGGGTTATAGTTCAGTGGTAGAGAGCTTGCCTGGCATGTACAAGGCCTGGGGTTCAATCCTCAGCAACACATACACACACACACACACACACACAAATTAGCATCCCCCAAAATGAAATACATAGATATAAATTTTTAAAAATACTTAAAAATCTATGTGAAGAAAATGACTGATTAAAAAATCAAGAACTATATAAACAAAAAGATATTTCATGTTTAAGAATGAGACAACAATATTGTTACAATGTCATTTCTTCCCAAATTGATCTATAGACTCAATGCAATCCCAATGAAAATTCCAGCAAACTATTTTATAGATATCAACAAACTAATCTTTAAGTTTATAGAGAGCAGCAAAAATACCCAGAATAGCCAACACAATATTGAAGGAGAAGAACAAAGTGCCGACAACTCCAATTCAAATTTACTATTAAGCTATAGTAATCAAGACGTGTGGTACTAGTGAAATGGCAGAAAAATGGATCAATGGAACTGAATAGACAGCCCAGAACCACATTATTATAGTCAAACACATTTTTTTGTTTGTTTGTTTGCAATGCTGGGAATTAAACTTGGGGCCTCACACATGCTAGGTAAGCACTCTCCCACTGAGTTACACATCCAGCCCAAGTCAACTGAATGTCAACAAATGACCAATATAATAAAAAGGAGAAAAGATAGCCTTTTCAACAAATGGTGCTAGTAACTCACATGCCAGACAGTGGATTTAAACACAGACCTTACACTTTTTACGAAAATTAACTCAAAATGGATCACAGACTTAAATGTAAAATTAAAAATTAAAAAACTCTTAGAAGATAACATAAGAGAAAATCTAGATGACCTTGAGTTTGACAATGACTTTTTAGAAGTAACATTAAAGGTACAATTCATGAAAGAAAGAATTGATAAACTGGATGCTACTAAAATAAAAAATTTCTACTCTGTGAAAGATACTGTGAAGAGAACAAAATGAGAAGCTATACACTGAGAAAAATATTTTCAAAAACATATCTGAAAAAAGACTAATATGCAAAATATACAAAGAATTCTTTTTTAATTTTTATTTTCAAAGAATTCTTAAAACTCAACATAAGAAAATAACTTAATTTTAAAATGGGTCAAAGACCTTAATACCTCTTTTTAAAAAAATATACAGGGGCCGGGGTTGTAGCTCAGAGGTAGTGCGCTTGCCTAGCATGCGTGACGCACTGGGTTCGATTCTCAGCACCACATACAAATAAGTAAAGGTCCATCAACAACTAAAAAATATTTAAAAAGTATATATATATATATATATATATATATATATATATATACACACACACACACACACACACACACACATACATACAGATGGCAAATAACATAAAAAAAGATGTCTCATATCATTTGCTACCAGGGAAATGTAAGCAACAATGGCACACCAGTACACAACTATTAGAGTGGCCGAAATCTAGAAAATTGAGAAAACTGAATGTTAGTGAGGATATGGAACACCAGGAAATCTCATTCATTAATGACAGGAATGCAAAATGGTACAGCCACTTTGAAAGACAGGTTGGCAGTTTCTTACAAAACCAAACACATGAAAAAAATGTTTTTTAAATATTCTTACAACATGATCCAACAATCATACTTCTTGGTATTTGTCCAAAGGAGCTGAAAATTATATTCACACAAAACCTCTACATAAACTTCACAACAGTTACTTCATAACTGCCAAAACTGGGAAGTAAACAAATGTCCCTGAGTAGGTAAATGGACAAATAAACTGGTTCACCCAGACAACTAACTATTAGTTGGCACTAAAAACAAATAAGCTATCAAGCCACAAAAACAAATGAAGGAAACTTAAATGCATATTACTGAGTGAAAGAAAGCAATCTGAAAAGACTACATACAATACAATTCCAACTATGGACAGTCTGGAAAAGGCAAAACAATAGAAGCTGTAAAAAGATAAATGGGAAGGAAGGAAGGAATGGTAGAGTACAGAAGATTTTTAAGGTAGTGAAAACATTTTGTATAATATTATAATGATGGATATATGTAATGTATTT